CAGACGGGCCGACACGGAGCCGCGGCGGGGCGGGCTCCACACGGAGGGCAGTGTCGGCCCACTGAGACGACACCCCGATGGCGAAGCGATCGGGACAACATGTCTTCTGATCATCAGGCGGCAAACGTGCCGTGAGGAAGCCACCCGTCCTATGCCCAACGTGCTTGAACCCATGGTTTTGTTTTTGTGTGGAACAAACTCAAGTTGCCATATAACAAAGGGATCATAATGCTCAGGGCATTGCTCAGAACATGCCATCTCAATTACTGATCAGCCGCAGATACCAGCACATGATGATGTCACCACAGTGAACATATTTCTTGTGGAATCTTAACTTGGTGCATTTGTAATGAAGCCACTTACCTATGGTGGCCCTGATAAGGGGCGAAGGGTCTCCTATTGCGTTCAAGCATTCCTGCTTGATAAAGTTGGCCACCTGAGGTGGCAGCTTCTGAAAGTATGTCCGAACGTTGTTCTTGAGTATCAGCCCACTGAGTGACCGAGTAGCTTCATCTGAAACACAAGAATGAGTGTTCAGTGATCATTGTTCATCACAATCTGGACCATCACCATCTTGATGACTATGTGTATCTTGGCATGTTTTCCTCTCTTTGTTAAGGGATCTTCTCAGACAATGGTCTTCCATAGTCACTGACTTCACTAAGGACTCTCTGCAGAATGATCAGCCTTGCACGACCACTGACAAGCATCATAAAAATATTTAGCCAACCTCACTAGTATCTGTAGCCTTCACACACTGTCTCAAAATGGCATCATTATAATTATTCTGATTTCACTACCACTTTCCCCACCCCACATTGCTTTCTCACAATCACTTTCACCATACAGCATCATGTTGTGCATAACTGCATAGCCAGTCATTGGATAATGTGCTGTTTCTGAGACAACACAATTAATGAAGCCAAAAGTGAACCACCTCTGCATTCAGCACACAAATTGTTTGCAATCAACATTAAACATTCTCCAAGCACTTTCTCATCCTATCAGCCATCACCTTCATTGACTCAACAATGGCAGCCTCAGCCATTACCTAACCAGCCTAAACATCTGCCATTACCTAACCTAGTGCATCACCCATTTGGTGAAACTTCTGAACAAGTAATGCAATCCATTATATATATTTGTATAAATCACCACAGCTAGCGCAATCCATTATATATATTTGTATCAATCATCACAGCTAAACAAGCCAATGACTGCTGCAAAGCTGAGCACCATATGGTCATGCAGCCAAGGTGCCAGAAAGCCCCATTACTATGACTGGCAGTGGCTCATCAAATGTCATTGCCACACACATAACACAAATGAACAAGTTCTTGTGCTCCCAAACACTACTGATCTTGATCATCATCACCATCTTTGTTCATCTTCTTTACTGTAAACCACCAACTTTGTTCTCATGAGGGCAATCAAACCCAAATGAACAGACAAAATGGGGCATTACCACCATCCCTAGCAATTCAGCCACGAATCCATACTGGTAATAAGGTCATGACAGCAAAAAGCATGCACCTTCAGGAGAGCACTAGCCACATACAAATTAGCTAATACCGAATTATATCACACACACCAGGGCAGCTTCATGATAAAGTTTTCATACATCATCTGGTCCCACAACTGAGCATCTATTCCCAGTTGCCACTCCAACCAACCAGTGCAAGGAGACCCACTACAATCAGCAAGCACAGCTTATGAATACAATGCTATGAGCAAATCAGGTGAGGACAATGACAGTACCCAATGACACTGTTCTGACAGCAGATGATCTGCACCACCAAGGCTGTCAGTGTCAAACTGTGAGGGCCCCCCCATGCTTTAACAGAGTCAGGCATTCTAACTAAATCACTAAAAAGCCACATCTGCTGAATTCTTATTTTGCTGAACCACTAGTTCAAATGGTTCAACAAATCATGCAAAACAGTTTTAAAAGGCATGGACTACAAAAGAGGCACAGATGTGTGAGTAACAAGCAGGTGCTGAGTGGCCACACTTACCCTCAGTCTTCAGCTTTGTGAGAACGAATACCAAGAAGTTGTTGAAGTCTGGGTACTTGTTAAGCTCTTCAAGTCTCTGGAACCTGAGTTAAGGACATAACAAAGCTGGAGAAAAAAATGAATCCCCTTTTATTTGACATATCTTGATTATCACAATCATTCCTTAATGAAAAAGGAAGCAGCAAAAAAATACCCTAAGGTTCAGATGAACCCTCCCACAACAACAGCAAAAGTATATTTCAGTTAGGAGAATCTGCTAAGTTTATCAATAAAAAATATGGTGCCTCTGAGAACCATTTAGGTACACATACATATTTTCCCATATTTTGGCAGAAACCTTCATAACAATATGTTGTGACTGCCATATATGCCTGCCAAAGGTCTTTTACCATCTCCTGTTAGGCAATGGAGAAAATCTTTGGTGCTGTTACCACACATATTGATTTCATTCTATTTTTATTCTAGCCAAAAACAGGCCTCCCAAAAATGAAGGCTCCTGATGCAAAGGGACATATATACTGCCCCTCTGCAAAGGGGCATATTAACCACTATCAATTCAGCGTGCTTTCACAAACTGTAGCATGAAGTACAAAAGAAAGGATGTGTTCCCTTTTATGCAGCATGATTTTCTGCTGAGTGTGTTTTCCAGCCCCTTTCCAGGAGTACCTAGACAATGAACATAATGAAATCCTCAAGTCAGTGATAGAACAATAGGATAATGCATGACATAAGGTAGAAGCACCTTGCTTAATTCAGCATGTACAGTAACAAAAATACTATAGTACTTAGCACTGCGTTTTTATGGCAGTGCATGCATCTTAACAGTAATGAAACATATCACCAAAGTTTACTAATGTACAACCTGTGTTAAACACACTGGTATTAAAGCATAAGCTACAGCAATCACTTCACAAATCACAGTCACTGCTCCACTCAAATATCAAACAATAGTTCATATAAACTGTCATGAGGTAAAATTTATAATGCTCTGAGTATTTAGGTTTAGAGAACTGAAAATGATGTTGACTTTCAAGACAAAATTATTGGTGAATCAGAAACCTTCTATAATTTTGGAATACTCCTTTGCAACAACATGTGAGATTGTTGCTTTGACTATATCTTTATAAATGGCACTGCATATCAAAAATGTTATGTAGCATTATGAAACGAATTGTTCATTTTACTGAAAAGTGGTAAAAATCATATTCTAGCCACAACTAAACACATGTTGGTGGAATAACAGGTTATTGCACTCTCCATGATGTAGACTGAATAGAGCCACATCATCAAAACATAATGCCACAATTTTATTTGTATAGCTACAATGAAACTACTACCATTACTCCAATAATAGACACAGATGACCACCCTAGTGAGTGAATGATAAATTCCAAAATACGATAGGCACAAAATGTGACAAAGATGACGCACATCAAAATTTTGAAATTCGGTGCCAGCCTCCGGGACATAATTTCTCAGATCTAGAGGGCTAACAGCTAATAAATGCTCCGCTCACAGTATATACATCATAACGCCTACATGACTAAGGCAGCCATCCTCTGAGGATGACGCAGTCCCTACGTAAAAAAACACGAAAGGATACATGTTGCACAGCCGTCTGCGTTTCCGTATTAGGAGACTGGGATTCCTTCAACAACTGCAATATCTGCTTCAGGCCATCTTCACTTGGGTGCCACTCCATTTCCTGCGCGCAAACAGCTCCTTGAGTCATGATTTAACAAAGCGGCCTATCTCCCATCAATGCCCCACGCGTTGACTTCGTCTCCACAACAGGAGCCGCAGCTGACAAACAAGTGCGGAGAACTTGGCATAAAATGTACTCAAGAGCTTCTTCGATTAACATTTTTTGGTTGTTTTTTTGTTAGATTGTGGTGATAAAATAAAAAAACTAACAAAAAAGAATGTGATAAGTATTTATTCAAATGCATCTTTTTGACTTTGAGTTCATGAACGGTTTATGATGCATTACATAACCATCATCTCTATCATGTCAAGGCTTCTACCGCCCCCCCCCCCCCCCCTCGCGCAGGAACTGGGTCCCGCGACGTTCTCGCGGGCGGGAGCGGGGAGGTGTTGCGTTGGGGAGGTCGGGGGACTTTTGGCGTCACGCGGGGTGGATAAGGTTTGAAGAAAAATAAGTAGCCGAGAAGTCTTCCGAACACCCGACGAAGTGGGAACATAGTGTGCCGGCCTTCTTAGGGTGCAGGTACGTTCAGTAGCATAGCCAGGATTTTGCCGAAGAGGGGACCAAATTGTCGCAAAGGGGCCTCTGTTCCTCGCTAAAGGGGTCACGTGTTTGTTTTCCGTCGACGTTTCTAGGCTCGGTTACTCATGTTGATGTCTCGAGGGCCTGCCTAAAAGTGCTGGGACCTACAACCTCAAGGAGCTCCCACTTCCTCTAGTGAAGCGGGGAAGGGGTAGTGTGGGGACCAAAAGCCCCCTCTCCTTGGATATGCCACTGGGTGTATAATAAACATCTGAAACTGGAAAGTAACTATGGAGCTGTTTCAGGGTTATGTGCCATGTTTAGCCTTACCAGTCTGGGAACTGGTAGGTTGTGTTAATATCTTGTTAGGGTGCTGTAGGGCAAGGGGTGCTTCACCAGTAGATGACACATTGCAGCCACCCAAAGCATCTCATTGGTGTCTGTGTTGTCATGTGCCAATAATCATTGAAGTACTTCCCATGTCATGCCTCTGACTTCCTCAACAGACTGCCCCTGTAGTATGTCAGATAGTGAGAGGACATATTTGTAAGGTCCCTTTGGCAATTAGGGCACATTATTATTATTTAACAAGTTTTCAACTCTCTATTTTCACTCCTATTTCTGGAGCCAACTGGTGGCTCTGATGCAATGTTTGTTTCAGAGGATGTCTTCCACCAAGGCACTGGGAATGTTAGGACAGCTTATCCTCAGACCAAAGACTGGTCTGGCCCCTCTATCTAATGCTTTCTCTTCAGCCTGTGCACATCACCAGAGCAATAAACCAGGTATGCAAGTGTCCACATGAATCATGTGGAATCTTGTGCATGTGCCACATCTCCAGGATGTGATGATTGCATGATGACAGGATAATTGGGATGGGTTTCAGCTCCTGAGTAAAAAAGTAAGGTTTTAGCTCATTTGTATAGCTTATATCATCATTGATCTTAAGACTGGTTTAGTGTGAAAGGTTGTTCTGTCATCTTCATTATTGTGTTAATTGTTTGTATACTAAGAACCAATTGTTTGTTATTTGTTGTTTCATGCATTAAGCTATCATTTTTATGTTACAGCAGTGGAGAAACAACCTGGGAGAAAGCCAACACAATGGGCCAAATTTGACTGGACAGATGCACTAAACATTGACAGCCAGCTAACTGAAGAAGAAATTATGGTTCGAGACACCTTCAAACAATATTGTCAGGAGAAACTGATGTCCAGAATCATCATGGCCAACAGAAATGAAGGTAGCACTTTCTGAACCCACCTAGGCCATTTGTCATGCCTATAATGGCTAGGTGAGAAGGCTGTTGGTCAACTGCTGATGCATTTTAGAATGCTGCCTGAGCTGAAATGCCAGTTGCAACTCTCATAGTTGTGCCCCCTATGCATCATCAATCTAGTTGTGCTCAGGGACGCCTGAAAGCAATCTCATAAAAACATCCATTGTAGGTACGAAATCCTAAAACATAATAAGTGAGTGTTGTACACTTGTGTTATGTCCCCATAATAGCAAGGCTGCAGTGGCTTCTTGTCAGTCTTGGAGATGATGGCTGATCTATGTCTTCTCTGTCGGGCAGTGTTTCACCGAGAGATCATGACTGAGATGGGCCAGCTGGGCGTGCTGGGTCCCACCATCCACGGCTATGGCTGTCCGGGCGTCTCCTCCGTGGCATACGGCCTGATAGCCCGCGAGGTGGAGCGGGTCGACAGCGCCTACAGGTCGGTGGCTGCCAGCCGCCGTCGCGGGAGACTCGGCCGAGGAGCAGCGCGGGGCGCACGAGTGCGCTGAATCCCTCTGCTGTCAGCTGCGGTGCCGTTGGTCCGTGGTGACGCCCCCCGGTCCGTTGTGGTCCCCTGTCGGGAGGACATGACGTAACTGGTGCAGTCGCCCCCCGAACACCGGGTCGTCTCGGCCCGTCTGACCCCGTTCACGCCACATTCCCGTCTGCCCAGTGATTGACAGACTACCACTGAGCACAGGTCTGCCATGAGCGTCCAGTCGTCGCTGGTCATGTATCCGATATATGACTACGGAACGGAAGAGCAGCGACAAAGGTTCCTTCCCAAACTCGGTAAGACGTCACCGGTTGTGGGTTGTGTCTTGCCCACCATCAGTAGGTCTTCCTGGGCTGTTCTAGTTGGCCGCTATGACGCCGCGCTGTATTCATATCACCAAAAACGGTCTCAAAGAACGTTTTTGAACCTGTGTCACCATGCTGCCCAGTCACCTGAGAGGAGTTCTCCATCGAGGAGCCCGGTAGCGTGGCGGCTTGCTCGCTGCGCCAGCCACGCGGTGCGCGTGGTGGTTGAAGCAGCGGCGCTACTCTGCCGACAGCGCGCGGCGAGCTGGTGGGCTGCTTCGGCCTCACAGAGCCCAACCACGGCTCCGACCCGGCCGGCATGGAGACGCGCGCCCGCTACCAGGCCTCCGACCGCGTCTACCTGCTCAACGGATCCAAAACATGGTCAGTGGCGCCCACGGTCGCCGTGTGAGAGTGGGTTGGGGGGAGGAGGAGGCAGTGGAGACGGCGACGGGCCAGCAACGTGCAGGCTACGGACAGTGGTTCCTTCGTTGAAGGATTTGAAAGCGGCAAGTGCGGGAACCGTAGATCGGATACATGTCTTCAACTGCGGCTCTGTCAGCTTGTCCTCGTGAGCTTCTCTCACTGTCATTATGGCTCCGATGCAGATTCACTGCAACGGCTCCATTCCTCGGACGTACCATTGTTCGCTCGTATCGGACGACAGACGCGCTTGCCCTCGCCACCGACGCGTCACCAGGCGATGGAGGTCGCGACCATCGGCCTCCGTCGCTGACCCAGACCCCTCCCCTCCCGTCCCCAGGATCACCAACTCGCCGATCGCCGACCTGGCCGTGGTCTGGGCCAAGTGCGACGACGACAAGATCCGCGGCTTTATCGTCGAGCGCGGCAGCAAGGGCTTCACCACGCCCAAGATCGAGGGCAAGTTCTCGCTGCGCGCCTCCACCACCGGCATGATCGTGCTGGAGGACGTGGTGGTGCCGGAGGAGAACATGCTGCCCAATGTGCATGGGCTCAAGGTAGGCCTCCAGCTGAAGTGGCCGCTTCTGGCGCTTGGGGTGGCTGCGGGCGACTGTCACTGTCGTCACTGGGGCTTCGCGGCGCACTCAGACGCGGAGGCGATATGGCGTCGCCTGCCTCTCACCCGGGCAGGAAGGGTGAGCACCGGGCGCAATCGAACCCTGTGCCTCTGGCTTCCCAGTCGCGCAGTGAACGCAGATGCGTTAGCCACTACACTGTCGGCACTCACTGCCAGGGACCGCACCTGCCTGCATCGGCGTGCCCGGTCTTGGTTTAGCGTAACTCGTTGACACCACGCTGTCGGCGGCCCGGCCGCGTGATCGCCGGCGACCGGAGCGCGCCATCCCCGCCACCTCCCGCCGCGGCCGGTCCTGACCTGAGCGTCCCCTCGTCGCCGCCGCCAGGGGCCGTTCGGCTGCCTGAACAACGCTCGCTTCGGCATCGCGTGGGGCGCGCTGGGCGCGGCCGAGGCGTGCCTGGAGACGGCGCGCCAGTACACGCTCGACCGGCGCCAGTTCGGCCGGCCGCTGGCCAACACGCAGCTCATCCAGAAGAAGATGGCGGACGCGCTGACCGAGATCAGCATCGGGCTGCAGGCGTGTCTGCAGGTCGGACGCCTCAAGGACCGCGGCCTGTGAGTATTTATAGCGGCGGGCGGCCGGCCAGCGGCGCGGCGTCTTATGTAAATAGAGATGGCGGTCATGGGCGCCGCGGGAAGTGGGCCACGCCGCTGCCGGCGACGCCGCGTCATCGGACGGGTCACGTGTGCCAGACACGTGACATTTGGTGTGATTGGCGGCGGTGGTTTTTGTGGGGGTTTGTCGCAGGACCGCGGCGAAGCGTCCGAAGTATCCGGATGCTTTAACATATGTTCTTTAAACCGGATTGCTGGATATGTATGTTATGTAGTACACATTTGGTGCCCGAATGTATACTACATAGCATATGTTGATCTCATGTGCGTACTTTGTTTGATTTACCTGATCAGCGTAACTCACTATTGAAGTAAGCACCTGATGAAGAAAAGGCTGCCAAAAACGGTTTTTATCGATGAATATCCAAGTAAAAACAGTGATACTTCTTGCTGAAAACGACTTTCCCAGACTGGCCCGAGCGATTGCTCATTAGTTTTCCTCATCAATGCTCATTTCTCCAACATTTCATGCGTAATGAAGGGACCCAAGTGTCGTCAGAAGGCGGATGTTGTTGGCAACAACATCCGCCTTCGAAGGTACGGTAGCGCGGCGGTTCGATGGCAACGCTAGCGCGGCCCGTTCGGTTGCCTCAGTGAGGGGCACGTAGCCAGACTACCAATCTGCCTCTCCCTCGGACGCCCAATTCACTTCCAGGTGTTATATAAGGCAGTAGTCTGCTGTAAAATGGCGTTCAGGCGGGCCACACAGTTCATCCCTTTTTGCGAACACATGACAGATGATAAATTCGGGAAGCGGATCCTGCTGTTCGCTCGCAAGGCTAGTAAGCTTTCGCCAGTCGCATGCGAGGCGTTTGCATGTGCCATCCTTCCAGGTCACCGAAGCGGTGCACGCTTCGCACCGGCATCCACACACCGCATTCAGGTTTCTTCACAGGAAAATGTGATCTTCGATTTTCTGTATGAATGGAACACCTAACGGCTTGCACCTTTAACGTTGGGCCAAACGCGTGAAATCTGTATCACGGCATCGCGATGTACGGCTTGGGACCAGAGTTTGTGGCCGCTGTTGTGAGCTGGTGAAGTTGCAGTCGCGCGGAGCCCGTGCCGTCGTGCCGGCGAGCTCGGGGGATGGCCGTGACGTCAAAGCACCTGCCCGGCAGGGCGGCGCCCGAGATGATCTCGCTGGTAAAGCGAAACTCGTGCGGCAAGGCGCTGGAGATCGCGCGCCACTGCCGCGACATGCTCGGCGGCAACGGCATCAGCGACGAGTACCACATAATCAGGCACTGCATGAACCTCGAGGCCGTCAACACTTACGAAGGTGAGAACGCGGCTCTGGCGTTGGGTGCTCATGAATCGGTGTTCTGCTTGATGCTAGTATTGCTACCACCTGCTTGGAGGAACTGTTGGCGTGATGTGGATGACTTACTTTTTCTGATGTGTCTCTGAAAGATTGATATAACTGTGTCGAATGCGATATATTTTTCGATTGATTATTGATCCACGCACGGGATACGGACAACTTAATAATGACGGCAGATTCCCCGACATTACCAGCCTGTATTGCTTCCAACCGGGGCTTCGTCATGGGACTTCGGTACAGTCCTCCTGCGATCACTGCTGTGTGTATTTTCTGTTGTCACGAAACATCATAACGTCGCTTGCAATAGCAAACGGCACAGGCGCCATCGCTGGCCGGGCGTCCGCGCCGTCGCCCGCCGGCCGTGCGTGCGGTGTCGCCGCCTGGCCGCTGACGCTGGCTCCACCTGGGCAGGCACGCACGACATCCACGCGCTGATCCTGGGCCGGGCCATCACCGGCCTGCAGGCGTTCACCGGCTGAGGCGCCGGCGCCTTCCCGCCTTCAGTCCTGCACAGATCTGACGGCTGCTCTCCCTCCAACTGCGGCGGGGCGCGGAGCCGCCACCCGCGCCACCTGCCTGTACTGCACTGTAGCGGGCTGTCTATGCTGTAGCTGGGCGCTGGGCGACCGCGCCAGCTGCCTGTACTGTAACGGGCCGCGCAGGGCCGCTGCCCGGCCGCTCCACCCGTGCTGTAGCAGGGACGCAGTTAGCGGCGTTCGTCCGCCGGCCAACAGAATGTGATATCGAATACGCATGGTGCTTTATTGAACGCGACCTGTAGACGGAACACGGGGGATTTGACAGAGACCGGTGTTTGGTGGGGATGGGGTTGATCACAGCGCGCGCTGCAGGATGGCGGCGTTCTGCAGCTGGCCGTCCTGGACGCTGAGGCTGTCGTCGGTCAGCTCCTTGCTCGGGAAGGTGGTCAGCAGGCTGAAGGGCGTGCCTCCGTACTGCGGCCGGGCTCTGTGCGTCGCGTCGTCAAGGAAACCGTCGGCAGATGGGCGGGATCGAAATACTGGCATGCTGCACCCACCATACGCCAGTCACAACACGTGGGCGAGGTATGCGATATGAAGGACACTTCAAAGCTCGGAATACTACTTACGCAAAACTCAGAATATTGAGACCCACTGCCAGCGTATGGTACACTACGGCTCTTTGTGAAGGGGAACTTGAGTTGAAAAAAACGCGGGGACAGAAGAACAGCATAACTGGTAAACAGTGCATCACGCAACGAAAAGCGTAGGCGAAAAACGAAAAACTGCGTAGCGTGCCCCACGCCCGCCTCCTCAAAGGATACGTGACGATGTAGCGCCGCAGGTCGCCGATGGTGTGCGACAGGTTGAGCTTGATGATGAGCCGGGAGCCGTCGGCCAGTCGCACCTGCACGCTGGTGGTCGGCTGGGCCTCGTCCAGGCCGAGCGCGGCGCGCGCCGCCGCCTCGCTGGCGGCCGGGTCGCCGGCCGAGGCGGCGGCGGCGGCGGCGCTGGCGGCCGGCGCCGGCGCGCCCACCACCGCCGGCGCCGGGCTGAAGAAGCGCCACAGGAAACCCATCAGGCCGAGCAGGCGCCACAGTATGGCGGAGAGTGACCAGCCTTCGGCGGCGGCGGCCGCGGCCGCGGGCTCTCCCGGGCTGAAACACAGCCACCGTGGCAGCCAGAGCGCGGCGGCGGCGGAGCCAGAGCGCACCGTTGGCCTGACCTCACCGCATAACCCACGGGCTTCACACAGGCCGACCAGGCGGCCGACACACTGATTGAGAACGACCATCCCGCTGACTGACTGGCTACCTGGCTAACAGACTGGCCTGACATGATCTGATATGACCAGATCACTGACCTGCCCAGGACGTGACCGCGGCCGGAGAACGGCTTAGGCTTGGCCTTGGGCTTCTCGTAGTCCTCGTGCCGGTGGTCCTCCATGTCCAGGTGCACCTCGCCACCCTGCGCCTCCCGGATCAGTTCCAGCGGCACCTGACTGCGCATGCGCGGACCACGAGTCGAGCGTCAGCAGCGGGCACGGACCGCCACGGGCGCCTGAAAACACTCGGCCGCACGCGGGACAAGAATGTTCGGCAGGTCCGAAGACACCGACCGCGGACGTGGTACCGGGTGTCGGGTATGTCAGATGACATTCAGGGCCTGAGGGCGTGTTCTCGGTCGCCTGGTGACGGGATTAGCCCGGTGTGTACGGAACTGATAAGCTCGTAAACGTGAGCAGCTCATAAACGTCATTCCTCCTAGAATCTCAGTGCATTTCAGCGATTCGCCGACCTCGGGACATTCACGGGCGGCACTCCTGGATGGCACTCACCCGCCGCGGACAGAGTTCAGGAACTCCTGGTTATCCGGATCCGAGTACTCGCGCAGCTCTCCGTCGTCGACGCTGAAGCCGGCCTTCCAGAGCCGCAGTTTAACGGTGCGCGGCTGCGGCGGCCGCCGATCGGGCGCCGCCGGCACCTTCTCCGAGTCGCTGCCGGTCTGGCCCAACCGGTACCCGGAGCCGCCGAACGTGGACGGCTGCGGCCGGCCCGGCTCGCTGGTCGGCTCCACCTCCTCGGCGCCCTGGCTGCGGGGCGGGGCGGGGCGGGGGAGGTACAGCATGCGGACGCGGAGGACGCGACGGCACCGGGGGCTGCGCTTCATCACATGAACTGATGGGGCGAGGGCGAACTACAAGCATGTCAAGGAAAACGAACGCTTTAATGTTTGTTTTAATGACTTGTAGTTCAGCATGATGCTAAGGATTGGGGTGTGTGTGGCTCTCCCCCACTCCAATCCTAAGGATTGGGGGGGGGGGGGGAGAGCCACACCGAAGAGACAAAGTCCAAGCCACGGCACGCACAGCACAACACGACACCACGGAGACCGATGGACGACGAACCTGTCCAGTGCAAATGATGCCGTGGACGTGACCCCGTAACGTGGCCATCACCACGTACGCGTAAACAGGCCGATATAGAGCAGCATGGGCGCACAGAGATTCATGTCAGTGCAATCGCGCTGTCGGCATCCCTGGCCATCCCGGGACCCTGGCTGATTCAGCGGGCTTTTGACATTCTGGGGGATCTCGGCCCTTCCGTGTTCACAGGCGGACTTCAGACGTCGTCACCGCCTCGGGGTCGGCCCGCTGGACTATATGGCGGTTTGCGGGGTTCCTGGCGTTACCGGTAACATTTTGCATTCACCATTTCCTTTTAGACCGTGTCCGTTTATCCCCAATCATCCCACACAAGAAAACGGTGGCATGCGGGAGTTGTTAGCTTTTAGAATCCCATCAGGTTTCTTTCGAGTGAAACGTCACGTCAAACGTGATGGTTACCCTTTGGCGGCCCTGAACATTTCCTTGACGATGTCCTCGCCCCTCTTGCCTCTGCGCGGCCCGAGGATCTGCTGGCCGCTCGTCTCCGAGCCGCCTGCGAAGAACGCCTGGCCGTCCTCGTCCGACTCGTCCGAGTGCGCGTCCATCAGACCCTGGATCGTCCGAATCCTGCCAGCACAAACGCAGTGTATGGACGGCACTGCACGGCGAGAACTGCATGGAGACTTCTTCTTTTTTTTGGGGGGGGGGGTTCTGAACCGAGATGGCTGGCCTTATGACCACCGGTCAGCCCTGCAGCTCGCACCGGGCCCAAAATCAGCAGCACCACTCACATTTCGTTGGGTCATCCCGCCTCAATTTGCATGAACATCTTGTAACGAACAAAAACGGACATAGCCGCCATCATACAGTATCCAAATCAATACAATGCCTGCAATCCTGAAATCACATGGTTACCTCAAGTATGGGGGCGACAGTACCGGGCATGGAGGCGCGTGAGCGCAACAAATCGATGACATGAATCGGTGATAAACCATTCCTTTATTATTCTTTTATGATTACGCGTCCTTCATTGTGGCCTGCATCAGAAACAAAAAATGATTTCCCCAATTAATTTTAGCCCATTCTAGCAACATCATATATCACAGCCAATTGGCACATTTTGGTCACTTTCATCCAAACACAGGAACGAGCTGTCCTAAACCCAGGAAGAAATTGGATTTGGGGAGGGGTAGGCTAGGTGTCCATAGATTGTTGCAGGAGCCCAATATGTTCAACATTCAACAAAAGCAGCAAAGCTGATAACTAAAGACCTAGTATCCACTTGAGTAACCAATGCCATCCTGAAGAATGTAGCTCTGAAAACAAAACTGCACCAACTGGCTAAATGATGTTGCAAATGACCCAACAAAAAATATTGCTGCAATGGCAGCAAAAGACTTGGGCCCAAATTCTATATTTTGCATATAATTGCCACAGAAAAAATATTTGCATCATCTAGAACCACAAAAATATTCACAGGAAAATCAGCTTCAAGACATGCAGTTCACAGCAAAACCAACATGTAGTAAAAGTGAACTTGGAACAGGGTGATGCATCTTATTACAGGTTCAAACAAATTTACCAACCTATAGAACAAATACAAGATGTACATCATCCTATTTTATTACCATCTTAACAAAATTAGGTTTAATTCCTGTTATGTATTAATCTCATGAACTGCCAAATAAGAACCTTCAAGGAATTTGTGATGAACATGTCTCAACCAGGTTAACAGACAAAAGGAGCAGACTAGTACCCTTTGGAAGATCAAGATCAGTGTGCATAACATCACTGTGTAAAAAGGTAGGGAAACCAGTGTGTAAAAATCAGCAGTAAAGGCCTAAAAAGCTTCTGACTTTGCCAGTTGTTCCTATCTCTTGTGGACTGATGTTGAGCTTCTACAAAATTAGGAGGTACACAGCACAAAATGTGGACAACCTCCCCTTATGACCAAAACTACAAAACTTTTCCATTGCACCATACATCTATGCAACATCAGTGCACTGATGATGTGCATCAATCTCAAGGTGTACATCAATCTCAGGACAAGCCAAAACACACAGTATTGTCACATTATTTTAGGTAGCATATATTTTCAGAGGATGTTTGCCAGAAAATACACTTGCAGCATAATAATTCCTTAAAGCAGTGGCTTTCCATGTGCTAAAACTGGTGGTGCAAGCCAAACTTTCAGCTGAGTACTCAATTTTATGATATGTGTGCTGCATTGCTGCCACAAATGAGGTGTCAATGATGTATTCATGTTGTCACACCCACTGCCCAGGCCCAGATGAGGATTAAATCCAAATTTTGACATACTATGCATCATTTGTGACCTGGTCTTATGAGATTAGTTGATAATTTATCATTCCTTTTGCTATAACATATCATTTATTATGACATGGATTTATACCCAAATCCCTTGATTATCTTTTTCACAGATCATTTAGCTTTGCACTCTACACTTTTACTTTGGATGTTTAAAAAACAATATTGTCTCCAATGCAGGTGAACAAATATGCAACTAACTCACCCAGACTGTCTCTGAGCTCTGTTCTGAGCTGGGCCAGACTGAACCTCTTCAACTGCTGGTTCTGCTCCTGCTGCAGCTCCAACCACCTCACCTGCTTCCTGGTCTTGTGCTTCATCTCCATCATTGTCATAGAAGTTGCCCATGGCCACCTTAAACAGCAAAAATACTGGGTAAGCACAATGGTAGAGGAACTATTAAATTACAACACAAAAATGCCTAAGCTATTTCATAGGATCTCTCAAGATCCATAGTTTGAATCTCACTCACCTGGTAAAACATCACATCAAACAATAAGTGAGCAAACTATTGAGATCAAATGTGCCACAACCTGCACTGCACACAGTGTGACCACAACTGTAGGTTTGCAGAAGCATTTTATTTCCTGCATCATCATTTCATGCAATATTCAGCTAAGCTAGAAAAAATCCCATCATTCCAGATAGCTGGGTGATTTGGAAGTAAGGACATGCATTTTGAAATGCTTTGTGTAGTGTTACTCCCATGTTTTGACCATTTACATGTGCACACTACACTTTACTAATATGATGCAAGCAACTGAGCAGGACGAGAAACTGATCAACCAATCAATATCAACACCAATCGCTACCCACGTCGAGGTTCCAGCCAGCCGCTTCCAAAAAGAAAGTTGCTCGCTCCGTATCAACACCAGTTATGGCCATAAATTGTGCCAACAATGCTTCATTATCCGCCATGGTGCTAATCGTCTGTGATTGACCACTTGTGTCAACTCCACCGCTGATGTCTGACCACCTATCGACACAGTGCAGCCAAAATTCGCAGCTGAAGTGGTGATAGAACTGAGGGTTTGCACGGCACGTCCCCTTTCTCCTCCGCTAATTCTCGTGTGTTCCCGAGTTGCTTGTCTTCGTCCTTGTGCACTTGCGACCGCGCTACTCCTCGAATCAAATGCGCTACGGTGACTAAGCTACACAGATGGCATAGGCTACGAAATGTAATTCTCCCAAATGATATTGGACATCTCGCGCCCGTCCACTGTTTCAAAATAGAATAAGTCCCCCCAAAGGCTGCAGGTCCAAGTTCATCACACATTTCATCAGACCATTCATATCACTCTTATTTTAATGTTCATGCATGACACCTGCAATCATATGTAAACAAGGGCATATCTAGGTTGGCCAAACAGGACTACCTCACAGACAACCACATGGCAAAAACCCAAATGACACATTTCTGGAATTTTAGGAAGATTTGAGGACATTTGTTCCGCATAAATGTTTTAAAGGCGCTCTTTGCGGTGAAATCGATAAAATAAGCTAAACAGTTTGATTGAAAATGATAGCAAGCTTAAATAATAACCTGCGCGCTGCTAGAGCACGGCGGAACTTTTTGGGCAGAATTGGCTGATGCAATTTTTGGCATAGATATGCAACGTGCTGCTCCAATAGTTAAATGACATCAGACGTGACAAGCATGCAAACTGACATCTATGTCGCAAATTGGGTGCAAAACTGATCCTCGCAAGATTTTTGTGATTGAACCACTAAAACATGCTAAAAAGCCAAATTCACTGCGTGCGTCTTTTGAGATCAACCAATGCGGTCTTGAAGAGATATACTTTTGATGTTTATGTTTGACCAGGCAGTGGTTTTATTTGCGTAGACTGTGAATAAGCCTTGCAGCAGGTTTATGAAAATATATTGCAGCACTTTAGCTCGATGCAACACAACATCGAGACTTACCAAAAGGCGCGAAAACAAAGAGTTGCTGCGATTTCTGGCGCTCAGCAAGTAAGGTGGGGGGAATGGGGGTGTGTGTTTGCTGAAGTGTGGAGTTTTGTAACATTACCCGTAATCCGTTTCTTACCTAAATCGCTGTGTGTTAGCCATATGTAGAAGGATTCAGTTTTTGTGGGCACCCGGGCACCCTGCCCATGTTCTGGCGTACGTTGCATCATGCTACCAGGTACGACATAGAAGACCATTTACCCTTTAGGACCGCCTCCTACAAGCTCCTGACCGGTTGAACTACATTGAATCTGGTTTGGGACGTGGTAGATAAGTTACATTAGGTGCGCCCTGTGTGAGTCTCATCTGGATTTGAATTTGTTTAGTGTATGATGGGCAACAACACTGGGGAAGAGTTTCCAGCCATTGACAACTCACGCTGCAGGCATTAGCTCTAATCATTGGTTCACTCATTCCCTTCCATTCCCTTTTTTATCTTGCATGACTTACATAAGCTGTTTTTTTGCGCATTGGTCAAACAAAACCAAAAGTTAAAGTTTGGGTGCATTGAGAAGAAAGCTTTTCAAAATTTACATGGATGTAAATGCATCAGTGAATGCCATCAAGTCTTCTCTTTACACCTTTGTCATGTATGTGTACAAGAAAATGGTCATCCACCACAAGCACAGACCAGGTGCTATCCCATGATGCGGAAAGTGAGGGATCTTGGGACACGTTTTTCATATCATGTCCCTGCCTGTGTTTTTTATGTTGTTTTTTGGCACATAAAGGCCCTGGTAGTTGACATGCCCTCAAACCAGAATCATTAGCTTGTTCAAAATAAGGGCGATGCAGGAAGGAGTGCATGAATAGTGGCATGGGAAATCCGGTAGCAATTAGTACACTTGTGTGTCATCCTTTTCACACGAAGCACCATATGTACAAAGTTCCATTTAGTTTAGAATCATGGATCATTCAGACTCATTACCCATGCAGCACTGTTCCATGCACTGATGGCATCTTGAAGATATTTAGATGTGGTTTCCTTCTTTGCTGCATGAAGAGCAGTCCTACTAGGGTTGGTACAGCACTGCCTCCAGCCATGCAATATAGATTTGCTGGATGTTGCACAGCATGTCTTAATGTTTTTGTTTTTTTTAAGAAACATGGATGCCTTTAGTTTGCAGTCCTCTGCATGCCCGGTAAACTCGTTCTCTAGGCTGGTGAGATGTTTTCAAAGGTTTGACATTTTCACAACTTATCTCTTGTACATCTAACATGTGCAAAAATGTCCCTGTTTGTGTCCAAAGCATGCCCCTTCTCTCACACATTGTGATAGACACCAGCATCAAAAGGTGAATTTAGGTCTGGCTCTCCATGAAGGTTAAACAAATCTGCACACAGGTTGTGTGTGCACATTCACGGCAATCGGTGCTGCAATGATTGCTTGTTTGCCCCGTTACCCTGCAGCTATCTGCACTCTGCATTTGCCGGTAGAAACGTGAAGAGGCAGTCGGACAAGTGCTCGGGAATTAGGGAATTAGACGTATATCTCACACCTTTTCTGCATGATGAGCAGGAATCGCCCTGACGTTTGTGTTACTCTAACTCACCTTGCAGCCCGGCTGATCTTCACGCCCGTGTTGATCGTCTGTAGCGGCCGGCGGGGCGAGCTCACGCGGGTGGCGCGGTGATGGCTTGCAACCTCTGCGGGTCGTCTTGCGACGCGCCTCTGCTGTACGGCGAGCTTCTGCGCAAGCGAGAGATTGTCTGCCACCACTTCTGCTTGGTGAGCGAACGCCTGTATCGAACTGCCGTTCTGGTCGCTTGCTTGCTGCTGTTTTTACGTGATTAGTGGTGAGATCGCGAGTGGGTAGAAAACAATATTCAAACGAGCTTTCCGGGCGCGTCTCTTTCCTTTGATGCTGTTCTGGATGCGGACTTCCGTTCCGGGAGCTTTCTTCCTGATTATACCGTGGTAAACCTGTCCTGTCCTTTCCTGTCCCATCCGAGTAAAGCTAGCTGAGTATTGCTATCACGTACCCTGTTCCCACGTGGAAAGCATTCAGTTGTGCTGTAGAAATGTAAGAGAAACGGCCGCCTGATTTCACGTCCTCAAACCTTCATTTCGTCTGCTTTTGCAGCTATTTTCTCAGGGTCTGCCGCAAAATGGTAGCGATCATGAGGGACTCCAGGGTTTCAAGCTTCCAGATATACGCAAGGAAATTAAGAAATCTGCGCGTAAGGTAGGTCACGAACCGTGGTCTCGTGAAAATCCGAGCCCAGGTAGACTCCCTGTGCATTGGACTCTTTTCCTCCAGCTATGATGGCTTTGTTCCGTTCTCTGAACTTCAGAGATCAAGAAATGCCTCTTTTCATGTTGACATGCATCTCAGTTGTGCCCATCCTGGCGGAGAGCGTGACACTGGATACTGCCTGACACGCCCAAGGTAATCTTTGCTATGGCCACCACCAGCACCATCTGTGACTCTGGCCCGGCATGTCAGGTGCCATCTTGTCTGGGGACGTCTTGGTCAGGTGGATGGCGCCTTCGGCTCCCTCGTAAGCGGTCCAGGTTCGAATATTGGTTGCGCCAGGGCTCCTGAGCTGTTATAAGACCATTGCAGTCGCTGACGCTCCACAACACGATGTGCGACGGCTTGCGTCGCGTTCCCCTCAACAGTGTAATCTCCCACATCCCTCTGACCCGTGACGTCAGACGGGGGGGGGTGACGTCACCAGCGTGACCCGGGCCCGGTCGGTCCCCAGGTGTGTCACTTCTGCCAGCGGCGCGGCGCCCACTCCCGCTGCCACGCGCCAGAGTGCAGCAAGAAGTTCCACGTCAGCTGCGCCGTCCACGCCGGCGCACTGCTCAGCTTCTTCGGCCGGTTTGAGTGAGTCGCCGGCACCATCTCTCGGGAGCAACGGACGAGTCCACGCGCGTTTAAATCGCGGCGTATGAGTGTGGACGCCATCAACTCTTCCGCGACCTCGTTCCATTTTCATGTTGTGATAAGTGGCTGCCGAACGAATCAAAAGCTGAAGCGAAACGAACGTGTTTCCATCTCCGTAAGCCGACACACCGCCCACGCGTTCAAAGCTATTGCTGGACACCACGGTCTAAAACCATGATGTGCGGTAGCCCCCGCACGAGGCCTGCCGCCGGCACGAGCGCACGTCTGTCCCAGAGGGCGGCGCCGCCGCTGCTGCCGTCGGCTGACACGGGGGCGCGGCGGCTGCTGTTGCAGGGTGCGCTGCGCCCAGCACCGGCCGAAGGAGCGCGAGCCGGCGCGGCGCCGGCCGGGACCCTGCGGCATCTGCCTGGGCTCGGCCGGCCACGGCGGCGGGCCCGGCGTGCTCTGCACCCCGTGCTGTGGCCACACCTTCCACCGGCTCTGTCTGCAGGTGGGCGGCGCTGCCGGCGGACCGACTGGCTGCGCTCACATTCGGAGGACGTGCTCCGAATTAGGAGTGGAGGTTTTGTGGTCTTGTATGTTTCTGTGTGCGCCGAAACCGCGTGATTGGCACCTTAATGACGTCGGGGATCGGTATATAGACAGCCGATGATAACATGCAGTGAAATCAGAAAAATAAACACCTTGAAACACTAACATATGGCAAACCCTGCGTTTTAAGCGTGGTGATAATGAGATATATATCGTCCCCAAACATTCCATTGGAACACGGCGTACCGGGTGAGCACCGACTGCCACATTCTTTGTCGCAGAAAATGGCTCTGAGTTCGGGCTACTTCTTCACCTGCCCAATATGTCGCAACAAGAACAACCGGACCGGCTTCCTGCGACACATGAAACAGTTCGGCGTCTACGTGCCGCAGAGGTGAGACTGCTCTCTGATCATTGAGGCTGATCTCTGATCAGTGACAGCTGCTCTCTGATCAGTGAGGCTCCTCTCTGATCAGTGAAGCAGCATGTGTCGCTGATGTGACACGCGGTTGTGTCAGCAGCGGACCTGTGGCACTTGGCCAGCGGGTGCAGAAGTTGTGGCATGCGGGCTCCCTTAGGGGACCGTGGCACACGATCAACACGTGGCAGGGCTGTGACACGCGGCCTCCGGGTCGCAGTTATGACGTACAGCCAGTATTCGCCAGAGCTGCGGTCCAGCCCTGTTGGTGGCTGTCCGCAGCTGCCGTTTTCAGCACACGGACAATTTTCGCCAGCGTTCACGCCCTGTCAGTGTTTTGTCCGGACCATGGCGCGTCAGTTTGTGTCCGGCAGTGTCACGTGCTCGCCAGAGCTGACGCCCGCGGATGCTCTCCACCACAGGACGCTAGCTGGGAGATGGAGCCGAACGCATTCTCCGAGCTGCTGGAGCGACACGAGGGCTGTGATCAGCGATACTGTCTCAGCAACTCCGGCCGGTTCCACTTCATCGACGGTCACAGGTCAGTCGAGATGCCAGTCGCGGCCTCTGTCACGCAGGGTCGCGGAAGATTCAGACTTGCGCCACGTTGTACGGCTGCTGTGTAGAACGTGAAGGTCTGTCGATGTCCCACGCTTTGGAAGTGGAACTAGCTGGTGACCCAAATAATGTGTAGGGCAGCGTGCCATGCCAGAAGACGTTGGTTTACCGGTTGTCCATCTGACCATATTGCTACATTTTATCAATCGCTATGGCTAGCGTGAAACGCGCCTTTAATAGTGCATGTCACTGTACTAGATGTCTTTTTGCAGCCTCGTAATTAACGTCAAATGATAGGCCGCTGGCCACCAATGTCGCCTTGCGCCCTCTCACGTCCGCCTGCCGATCTGATTCCGCCACAGCGAAATGCAGCAGGTGGGTTGGCTAGTGCCGGGGGAGGGCGTCCCCCACCACGAGCGCTTGCACAGTATAAACATGCCTACCGCTGGCGCCCGTGCCGAAGCCTCAGCCTGCGCAGACGGCCGTCACCTGCAGCGCTCTCCTGTGTCGGCAGCGACTGGAGCCAGCTGCTGTGTGGCTCGTGCGGTTCGCGCGGCGCGCACCGCGCATGCGCCGGCCGGCCGCGCCGGCCTCCCTGGTACTGCCCGGACTGCGCGCCGGCCTTCTGCGCGGGCCAGCGCGCGCTGCCCGGCCCCCGGCGCTCCTCGCTACGCCAGCTGCTGGTGCGTGCGCCGGCCTCCGCCGAGCCGCCGCCACGGCCGCGGAGCGGCTGGTACACGCTGAGGGCGGCGTCACACGTCGGAACTTTAAATGACATATGCGGGGAACGCTCACGATTTTCAGTCGTTGGCACGGTTGTTCCATCAGATTCCAATCAATATCATCGTATTACCATATGTACTACGTTTAGGTGCTCGAATTGTTCAAACCCAGCATCTCACGCGTTTGGCTCGTTTCTGCGCGTTCGTTTGACAGCGCCTGTGAGGGACAGAGTGATGTCGCCGCCGGAGAGTGGCGTCTGGCAGCCCCGCCAGTCCAGCTGCAGACTCCGGTCTGGCCGCCCCTGCCCCCCCTCCCCCCCCTCCTGTCGTGCAGCGTGCCTGACGCGCCCACCGGCAGCACGTGACCTGACCTCTGACCTGGCCTCAGATGAGCGAGCAGCGGCCGGCAGCGGCGCTCTCGCTGGCAGATGTCGTGGGAGAGCTGAGCTGGCTCAACTTGATACGCGCCCTGGACCAGCCGGAGAGGCTGCTCCACTTCCGCTGGCGCCCCGCCTCCGGCGGCGTCAAGGTCAGCCGGGTCACGGTCGAGGTCAGGCGGGTCTCTTCACTGTCATTCGCGCCACTCGTGGTTTGGTCAGCGTCAGGGCACGGTTAGCACGTGATCAGCCAAGCCATGTAGGTCTGGTCAGAGTTACAGGCTAGGTTAAGCTAGGGCCAGTCAGGTCATGACCAGGACGGCGTCAGTCGTAATTCGGTGACTGCGAGGGTCGGTGAGGTCATAGCCAGGCCCAGTGTCAGGTTTGTTAATTATGACTGGAGTTTATAGTCCAGGTTAGAGCATGGGAGGCGCCATGGCATATAATGAGGGCCAGGGCAGGACAGCTGATAAGTTTGCGTTTCGATTATCATCGTCAGGATTCTAAATTATCGACTTAGAATCGATATGAAGTCCTGTGGGCACATATCTCAAACACCGATGAACTGAAATTCAATCGACAACAAATGCGCAACATCATCTGTTCGCTTATATCAGAGAAATGCAAAATATTTGAGAAGGAAGACTGAGAGGATATTTTTCGAGCAGGCGATGTGACCAAGCCGAGGAGGTCAGGTCATGGCCACTCAGGTCGCGGTTAGCGTATCAGGTCACGGCGGAGCACGGCCGATGCCGATATGGTCGGATGTTCGGTGGCGGTCACCTCGGCGGCAGGTGTGGCTGTAGTCCTCGGCGGTCCTGGGCGGCAGGGGCGCAGGCTGGTGCTCGCGTTAGACTGCGTCGGCTGCTGGGCTTGGCGATCATTGGGCCAGTGATCGGTCTTTTCCTAGGTCATATGTTTGTCACGGTCATCCAGACCACGGCCCGTCAGTCAGGCGGTATGGTCAAGGTATGGTCAGAAGGCCAACTTGGAGTCCGGAAACTGGTTGGACCGTGGTCGATAGAGGTCAACTTTGGTCTGGCGCGTGTCGGTTGGCCAGACCATGGACATTGTGGTCAGAATCACACGGTAACCACCCGGGTCACGATCATTCATATCGCCGTGAGTAAGAACAGTCCGACCGACCAACAACTGGCCATCCGCAACCGCAGTTCACTTACCGCCCGCCGTCAGTGCCTTGTCTCGCTTCGTCTTGTCTCAGTCAACCGCTGCTCTGACTTCAGATTTCGACGCGGCCCGTGGCGGACCCGAAGAACCCGGACCACGTGATCGCCGGCGTCACGCTCGCGCACGACGACTGTGACCTGCAGCCGGTGGTGCTGGTGACGCGTGCTGAGCGCCGCGCCGCGGACCGAGTCAGGCGACCGCACCCGCCAGGCCAGCGCGCCAACTCGCGTGCCAAGCGAACCGCCACATTTGCGAAGCGCCACGACTCGTCTGCGAAGCGCACTGACGCTCTTGTGGCGAGGCCCGGCGCACCCGTGGAAGCAGCGATGGGGCGCGGCGAGCGCATCAGGATTCCTTCTGAAAAGGCCGTCATTAACGTCGAACGAGTTAGAATAACTAGCGGGCGCTCAGACTCGTCTTTGAACCTCACGGATACTTCTGCGGTATGTTTGAGGTCAACTGGGCGATGCTTGGAAGGGAGCGCCGCCGTTTTGATTAGCGAACTGAGGATTGGCTTGGTGCCAGTCTGCGAATGAGCCCTGGTCACCCCTGATGTTGCGGTCCAACAACCTCCCATTACCAAACAGTAATTTTGGCGTACCTTTTGGCGTGTGGAGCTGACGTGCAGGCAGTCCCCATGTTGTTTTCTGGCCGAAATGGCGTCAAGACCACAGGTGGTGGCCGCCCCGCCGCGCGCCTTGTAGCAGAAGGTGTGATGCTGACGACCCGTCTCGTTGCAGGTATCCGTGTCTTGCCCTGACGGTGGGCGGCCGGGCAGACCGAGGAGGCGCAGGAACGGGCATGACCGCGGCACCCGGGATCGAGAGCGTGACGGGCACCGGGAGATCGAGAGGGACCGATCGAGCAAGAGGGACCGGCAGGTCGAGAGGGACCGATCGAGCAAGAGGCACCGACCGAGCAAGAGGGACCGATCGAGCAAGAGGGACCGGCAGGTCGAGAGGGACCGACCGAGCAGGAGGGACGGGCAGATCGAGCAGGACTTGCAAAGGGAGCGGGATCGACAGTTCCGTCGGGCCGAGAGGGTTGCCTGGCAGCAGCGGGACGGCGGAGACTGCCAGATCCGGCGGGACCAGCAGACCTCGACGGAGCGCATAGACCGACGGCGGAGCAGAGTCACCAGATTCTGCAGTCAGTGGGACACCGTATTGCATCACTTCCGCCAGGGCGGCCAGGAGCAGACCGGTCGGCCGCGCCGTTCGCTGATGGAGCGCAGCTACCTGACTCGCCGCACCGTTCGGCCCGAGGCGCTGATTACCGAAGTGCCCGCGGCAACACGTCCCCGCTCCCGGCGCCCGGTGTGACCGCCGGCTGACGCCCGTCTGCCCGCCAGTGACGGACGTCTGCCCGCCGGCTTTCGCGTCCCGCCACATTGGCCTCCGGAACGTGGCGAGGTCGGTGATGCACCGCCGTCGGACTGTCTCAGACCTGAAGGTGGAGGACCGGGCAGGAGACTCGACCCCGGCGGCGCGTGCGGCGAGGGACACTAAAGACACCGTGCATGTTCTGACGGAAGACTCGGTGCGAAGCGACGACAACCGACGATTGTGTGTGTGTAAGGAGGGGGGGGGGGGGGGTCGTGTGTGGGACGAACTGGCGTGGTGGCGGTGTCAGCCGCGCGGCCGGACGGCCTTGGTGCGATCTCTTCGGACCCCGTCAGAGGCGCGCCGGCGCCACCAGTCGTGCTGCCATCTGCCGGCGAGTCGGGATCTGATTCCGGCTTCTGCCATAGCCCCACCCCCTCCCTTGGGGGATGTATCTTGGCAACCAAGTGAGGAAGCTGATATGGGTCTGTTGTATGGGCGCGGGTTTGAGTCGGTGGCAGGTAACGCCGGCCATGCATCTGCCGCCTCGCATTTCAATAAGCAGTCCTGCTCCTGGACTTTGCTGGGGCTGGGATTTGGGCGCCCCTTGTGCGCCAGGAAGTGTTTGATCGCGCGGTGCAGCGAAGGAACAAGGTGTTCTCTCCATGGTGGACCCGTCTGACTTGAAGGCTCTATAAGTGCGTCCGGCTGGTCTGCTCTGCCTATATGTAGGTCTGGCTGGTCGTGGTTTGGCTTCATTAAGTGGGTCAAAGTTTGGCATACTAGGTTTATCGGAAAATGATAACTCATGAAAACATTCCACACACTCTTCTGCGCGACCTTTTTTCCACACGATCCGAATCGAGCGAATTACCTGTGTGCGCTCTTGTTACACCGGTGTATGTCGAAGGGTGCCGTTTAGATGTGGCCAAAGAGCAGAGGAACAGCTTTTTATCGCGCATGTTGTGAGGGGAACTGCCCTGTCTCTGTCCGTAGGCAGGCTAGTTGTGCCTTCGTGTTCCATATCGATCCGTGTGCCGATCGGGGCCCACGTCGTCTGGACTTGGTCGCTCGCTTACATTTTACATGTGTGGCGCAGCTGAGAGAGTGTTCAAACAGGATTTCTTAGTGCGGCTGTCTGGAGTAGGACAAGATTCTGGTTACATTGACGCGTTTGCCATGAACGCCGAAGAACGGCGTTTAGTGCGCCAGTGGAGTGTTCCCACGCATCCGACTGTATTTCCAATATAACAGCGTGGATGCATGCTTTAAAGTTGCAAGTTTTCGCTGCCGAACGTGGTGATTTTTCATTACAGGTAGCATGGCTTCGCGAATACCGGGAGGGCCGAAAACTCTATTTTAAACTATTATCCACCCTGACTAATGGGCGTGCGTGGCGCCCCTCGGAATCGCGAGCGGTGGGAAAATAACGCCATTGCAGTCCTGGGCGGTTTTCCTTGATTTATGGCGTGATTCGTGAGCCGAACGCCTATGGGCCCCGACGGTCCCATTCACGTAGGGCGTGGATATGTATATTGTGGTACAGCACATGCCGGTCCATGTATATTGTGGATGATCACGACAGACCGGCGCGTGCGAGGCAGCTTTAGCCTATTACACCAATGGAATAGAGCTGTAGCAGGAGCCAGTCACTGTCAGGACGGCCAGTGCATCTGTTATCTATAATGGTTGGTTGGAAGAGAACTTCATTTATTATACACCAATAGCAGGAGGAAGTCTGGTGTCTGTTCCCGAACTATGCTTTTTGAAAGTGCGGATAGATGGCAGGGTTCGCTCCCTCCAGCACTCCTGCCTGCTCTATTTTCAACACATCCCACACCATTCACTCACGAACAACACGATGTTCTGGCGCCAGGCTTGTAATTCGCCACGGCGAGTATGTTGCAGACAGCATAGGCTTATCACCGACAGTACAACAAAGGGTGGCAAAACCTCTCATTTTCAGCTAATGGCTTGACGTTGGGTTGACCGCCGCCCCTGCATCCACCTTCCTCGCCCTCCGCTTGATCCTCAACGCTTCCCCGCAGTGGGAACATGCTGCGACCGTCAGCCTTGGGTCAGCCTCACTGTCGCTCTCGCTGGGAGTGCTCCAGAGTGCTGACGGATTACCGCTGGAGTGCTGCCAGTGTGCCGCTTGAGTGCTGCCGGAATACCGCTGGAGTGCTGCCGGAGTACCGCTGGTGTGCTGCCAGAGTGCCGCTTGAGTGCTGCCGGAGTACCGCTGGAGTGCTGCCAGAGTGCCGCTGGAGCGATTGTCGGAGTACCGCTGGAGTGCTGCCGGAGTACCGCTGGAGTGCTGCCAGAGTGCCGCTGGAGCGATGTCGGAGTACCGCTGGAGTGCTGCCGGAGTACCGCTGGAGTGCTGCCAGAGTGCCGCTGGAGTGCTGCCGGAGTACCGCTGGAGTGCTGCCGGAGTACCGCTGGAGTGCTGCCAGAGTGCCGCTGGAGCGATGTCGGAGTACCGCTGGAGTGCTGCCAGAGTGCCGCTGGAGCGATGTCGGAGTACCGCTGGAGTGCTGCCGGAGTACCGCTGGAGTGCTGCCCCAGAGTGCCGCTGGAGTGCTGCCAGAGTGCCGCTGGAGTGCTGCCAGAGTACCGCTGGAGTGCTCCCAGAGTGCCGCTGGAGCGATGTCGGAGTACCGCTGGAGTGCTGTCCAGAGTGCGGTCTACGCGGGTTCAGCATCTGTAACAGCGATAGGAGGAGGTAACCTATATGGTGCCCCACATCTTGCTTAGTTCCTTAATCTTGATGTTTCGAAACGATTGGTCGCGAGCATCATTTACCTCGCAGCCGGACCAGAACTAACGCAGCGCTGAGCCGGCGGCTCTGGCAGCTGGGCCGTGGCTCTCCGCAAGACGGTGAAAAACACGAATATCAAAACTCCACTTTGGTTTCATAACAAGTAAGACCTATCGGCCTTTGGCACAATTCGCGCTCAGTCCCTTCGGCCATAATAGCTCCCCCACACGCGCCACCCGCAGACCCCACCGTCACGAAACTCGTCACAGCATGTTGCTTCTTGCCACAGCTGCTCTTCCTCCTAATCTATCCTCCAGCTGCAGTGTGGCTTCTCCTCCTGTCCCTCTGCCTGTGCCGTCCTCCATCTGCTGGGCGACCCCTACACCAGATCCTCTTTCGACCCTTCCGCCCTCACCGCAAGAATCAACGGAAGATGAATGAAATACTGCTGACCGTCGGCGATCACAGCACAGCGGTTTTAAGTCTTCCACCCGCGCCAAGTCAATGAACGGTACACGAATAAGCCAGTGCGTTTGTCCACGTTTTACTGGGATTACTGGGTGGCGGCGACTGAGCGATCGATCGATGTTATTTCGGCGTCGCGAAAAAAAAACATTGTTGTAGCCTTTTAAGTAAACCTGACATTGAAACGAAAAGGTGCACATGGTGATTAAAAAATAGGTGATAATTAGAGCCAATGAATTTATCAATGCGGTGATCTAAATTTCGCCGCGATCCTGGCGGTAGTTTTGACGACAGCGTGTGGTATTTGGCCCCGTTTTCCCAGATTCCGACATGTCCGGCTTGCACGACGAATTCTGTGGCACTGGTGCCTCGCACAATTTCGTGTTGTTCACATGAAATGCAGACGGCACGCGTGTCGACGCTTTGAAGTTGGATTCACGCGTTCACCGACTCCAGTTACCAAGATGTGGCATAAAACCTGAAAAACGGTCGAAAACGGGAAAATTTATATTTACCGCTGTTTTGCACGTGGCACGTGCAGCGCCAACCCGTCACATCACGCGATTCCCTGTTCAATTATCTGTCGAAGCGTGTTGATCTTGCATCGCTCCGACCCGCTGTTGCCCAATAGCGGCCGCGGTTTCGAACGGCCACTCTCCGGTGCTGACCCGGAGAGTGGCCGTTTCGCTTTTTCGCGCCGCCCATGCTAAGACAATGGGCTAGAAATGCACTTTGCAACACGTGCCCCCGCGGTACCTGTTGACCTCACCGGCACAATACTCGCCACTATACGTCCTCACCTGCGCACGTGCGCTGTGTCAAAATTTCACGTTTAGGCGACCCATCGTTTGACCTGCACACGCATCAACGCAAAAAGACAACCCACAAACAAACACACCCTAAGCAAAATATACCGGACAATACCTGCCGGCATAATTCACGCGGGCGGCCTCCCAAGCAGATTTCACACGTAGCCAGAGTTGTTTCCACCCTTTTCAATGTTGTCCCCGCCTGCTCCAGGCTCGGCCTAACGCCTCTCCGCTTTTTTGTATTGGTTTTTTTTGTTGTTGCATGAAAGGCTTTTACCAAGCCACTCTGCTTATCGCAATGAAATGGTGAGTAAAAGTTTTCGAGCCCTTCCACGCCTGACCTTTCATCGTCAAGCTCCTAACCCGTCGGATTACTGAGCAACGACTATGTTCTCCAGTGGCTGCTTGGCGAAAATGTGAAGAAAAGAGCAGCGTGCGCGATGCGTTCTCAACACATTCATTCCCGTATTCTTGCGCAGCAAATGTTCTCGCCCGCTCCGACGATGTAAAATGCAAGAGTTTAGTTTCGTCAAATCAGCCGAGGGGGTGGTTGGCAAGGCATAAAATACACAAAATATGATGCAAAGAAACGATTGATGCAAAATTATACGTGGAGATGAAAACGAAATGCACTGCGATGGAATAGGCAGTCCGTGAATTAGATACGATATTTTGCTCGGTCACGGATAAACTAAGCCGTCTCACATGCCGTAACGGTGGTGGGGACAGTTCTTAGAAATAATCCAAACTGATGCCACTATTTATAATCCCCATCACACTCGTCGAACGTGAAGATTTTAACTGCGGTCATGGAAGATCAAAGTTAAGAAGTGACAAAAAATGGCCTAAGGCGATCTTGCACCTCTCCTTGAAAGTAGACGGTCGCGTGCTTTAATTTGAGCCGGTGGGACTCTGGGGAGATATGGTAAGCTGCGATGAGCGGCAGGGGCGTGGTCTGACCCATTCGACCCAGTCTGACAGATCAGCTTTAAGACATTCGAAGTCATCAAGAAGTGCATCACGCACGGGGCCACCGTCTCATTTTACCACTTTTTATTTTTGCTGCAGCCCATCACGCATGATATAAATAATGGATGTTGCCCGCGACCACCTCGGCTCTACGTCATGAGAGAGGTCAAAACCGTTGTTTTGCAGGAGAACGGGGGCCGCGCATTAAAAAAAAAAAACATGTGGTTGAGCG